ATTTGTCATATTTAAATGAATAATTCGAAATTGGTCTTACAGATTACCATGATGCTCCACCTATTAATTGGAAGATATGCTACCATAATGCTAGTAATATGGACGGCAGGTGCATTTTATCTGGACGATAAGGCGAAACCAGCATCAAGGGATGAAAAAGTCGACTACCGGTACTGGATAAGATATGGCCAGGAACGTCTTCATTTTGAGATACGACGCCAGCAAGAAGAAGCCAGATCAACAGGAAAAGTGGCAAAGAACGTAATATTATTCATTGGGGATGGCATGGGTTTGTCAACCATCACAGCAACCCGCATCTACAAGAACCAGCTAGCGGGGGGATACGGCGAAGAAAACGGACTGAGCTTCGAACACTTTCCTTATGTAGGTCTCGCCAAAACATATGAAGTCGATTCTCAGGTAATCAAACATCGAAGATTTCGTTGTGTATTAAGCTCATTACCAAAGGCAAATCAGTAGATTTATTTCGAATTGAATTATATATTTTATTTTCGTTCGGTACCAAACAAAACCTTAATATAGGATTCTCTGACAAAATATAAATGTATTTTCTAATGTTTTATCTATAAAATTGTTATGTTTAGCTTGTTACACGATGTGGCGGCTTTCATTAAAAGTATGGAAGTATCGCGTAGGCTTACCTCGATAAGTAAAGGTGAAATTGTTCCCTTCTTCCAACGCGTTACTGAAGATTAATGTTGTGAGCAACATACAAAATTAACATTAATGTTGTTACATTCACAGGTGCCTGATTCAGCTGGTACAGCTACGGCCATGCTTTCTGGAATCAAAATCAACTCTAACCTAGCAGGTCTGGATGCTAGGGCGAAGTATAAAGTATGTGACCGCTCCATAAACGAGAAGGCAAAAGTGGAGAACTTAATAACTTGGGCTCAAATGGCAGGAAAAGATACAGGTTTCGTGACAACGACCAGGGTCACACACGCAACACTTGCGGCAGTGTACGCACACACTAACAGCCGTTACTGGGAGTGCGACTCCAAAGTGCCAGAGGAATACAAGGACTGCGTCAAAGACGTAGCTCGTCAACTCGTGGAAGACGAACCTGGCAGGTAACGTTTGTTCATTTCTTAAACTACACACTGATCAGGGGAGGAAGGGGGAATTCGTGTTAACCGCGTCAGCCGGGCTAACACTTTGAAAAAAATAAGCAGTGAATGAGACTTGGGGGAATTCGTGTTAACCGCGTCAGCCCGGCTAACACTTTGAAAAAATAAGCAGTGAATGAGACTAGCTACACTGTAATTCACAACGTGTATAAGAGCAGATATGACGAAAATACAGGCTATAAATATTCACCCATTTCATATGCCACTATCTCCCGATTACTTCAGAACTTTGTCTCTTTCTTATTAAGCGGTCATAAAGTCAGTACAGTTCATTGACTAGCACAGAGCAAAGGTTTCTTGAAGGGTAAAATCACTTCAATGTTACGATCAACACTGCTTCAATACGTGCAAATTGGATGTTCAGCCAGTTATAAAGTGACGACTTTTAAACGGAGACTGCTACTTCGTAGAATTTAGGCAATGTAATAAGAACATTAATTCAGTTTAATTGACATACTAAAGTGCTTTAAAACAGCAAGAAAAGTCGTTACAGGCAAACACTAAAAATGAGACAATAGAAAGATAGTACAAATATAAAATGGAAAATATGAAGATAATAAGAACTAGAGATAGCACAGAAACTGTGTTCATATTTATAAAAATAAAGGACAGTCTGTAAAATGCAATAGGCTAACATAAGTGTAAAGTAATTAGTCATCAAAAGAGTAAGAAATACCAGTGACTGCAACACAGAAGTCAATGCACCTCGGAAGAAGCAGAGGAACAAACCGTTGATGGCACACATTTACTACAGTAACCGTCACCAAATTGCATGCCTCAAACAGGATCCACATTAGACTAGCTAAATAATTTCGCATTTAAAATCGTTGATCAGTAATAAGAGAGCATCAGGACGCAGTCGCCTGGAACGGGAGTGGTGAAGAATTAAATTTTATTAATATAGCTTCATATTTATGGCTGCAAATTTTCTTTGACCAAAATTCATGGTGCAAATAGAGTTTTTGGTCCAACAAAAGTCCAAGGTCTCTGATACGCTGGAATTATAACAAAAACTCTTTTAAAGTTTGTAATTCAATTTAATAGCGATCGCTTTGCGAACAAATGGCATATTTATAATTTTACCAATTAGCTGCTAGAGTCTCATATCATTTTAAAACGTTTATTCTGCACAGAATTAATATCTGACCGTAAAACTTAGTCTTTGGCACTATTAATATCACAACAGCAGAAAACAGACTGTTGGGATTATCATGTATATCATTAACAAAAATATTACGAAATAAGATTCACAACTATACCATTAAAATCGAATCTTGATACAATAACCAAAGTCTTTCAAGATTAATTGTACAAGTTCGCGCAGTGAGGAAAAAATGAAAATTCGTGGTAGCAATAAATGCAAACGAGGCTACAGTGGTGCTATGGTGGTGGTCCCTAGATTCGACCCTTGTGCGTAAAAGTTTTACGTGAAGTATTCAGACTAAAACTTCTAGGCTATTAGAATTATGTCCAATAGCCACTGCCCCATGCTTTTACCATAATAAGGGTGAGGAGGGGTTATTATTTATTATTCCCTACGGTGTAGAATGGGATTATAACTGAATACCTGAGAAAAACAGTGGGCTAACCCACACTTAGGCAACACTAAGAAAAAATTAGATAAATGTAAACAAACCCGCATGTGGCTTAGCCTGCTTTTGTATGAAGAGTGATAGTGGGATTCGAGTTTAGATTCTATATTCTCCGACTCTGTTAACGCGTTGTTTTGCTACAAGGTATTTAAATCATTATTTCCTTTCGTGTCGAATTTTCATGTTTACGAAATCTGGACAAACGCTTATGTAATGGAATAAACATGAGCCAGATAATACTCAAGCTATAATGACTTTGGGTAGACACACGACCGGGATTCAATCCCCGACAGGGGCAGAGGATATTTCCTTTAGCTTTATTAAAGATTACATAACCGAATTAAGCCAAACAGACTTTAAAATACACTGTGATGCCTTGTTGAGAAATTACCTTCATAAAAAGGGGAAATAATCCATGACATGCACGCTTACCACATTCAGTTGCTTCTAATCTTGGTTTTATCCATGAACACTTCACGAAACAATTTTTATTTTGTAAAATTGGTTAATTCACTGACTCTGTCATGTCTTGAAACGGACACACACCACTAAAGCAAAACTGGTTACCTTTGACGGTCCTAAGTACCAACCACAAAAAAACAAGTTTTTTTGTCAGTAAGAAAAGAGGATTGACGAAAGTGAATACTACTACTGCTACTACCAACAAAACAAGTATATTGAAATTTCCCTCTTAAAGCTCCTGAACACCCTACTCAAGTACACACGGAGCTTCTCGCAACTACAACATACGCCCGACTGTAAAGAAGTTCTATAATTTCGATAAAATAATTTACACAGAGGTGTTTTGTATTCGTGTTTGTATTGTCATATTTTAAATGGTAATTGTCTCGTAGCAGCCAACATATTACATTAAGCAAACATACACATCATAACTTATTCTTTTCATTAGCAGCTCTAACTTGTCATTGAAAGATACGTGAAGTAGGCCGAACATGGTGGAAACTTGGCTGGACAAATGGGCGAGAGAGAAATGATGTGATGAGGACAGAGACAATCAGCCACAGTCCTGCCAAAAGAGCGGGGTTAGAAACACAGAAGTAGACAGGAAATCTCTCGGGGAAAAAAGCAACAGTCAGAATAGAATTTATTTACATTTCATATATCCTCCATGCTGTGCAGACTGTGTTAGTAGTAAGCACGACACATATCTTGCAATATTTCCTGTACTGAATTTTCATTACTTGGTTGTTACTAATTGACAATTTAGGTAAAGATCTCGTTTATGATTGCAACATATTATGATGCATTTATAAGTCTGGTTTATTTCCAGCAATTATGATTGGAGACTGATCCTATATTTTTTACAACTAGAATTTGTGGATCATGATCCAATAGCCTATTAATGATCTTTCCTGGAGCTGACTACAAAAACTATTGTCAATGGCAGTACTAAAGTAATTTTGAATTCTTGTGGTGAAATTAACTACTGACAAGAGAATGATAGATGCTAGTGTGGAGTTTAGGTTTTGTCTGTGGTAAAGTTCAGTAATATAACTAGTATTAATAACGTCACAAATGGCAAATTCTTCTGTAGGTTTATTTAAAAAGCTTTCTAACTTGTTTATAAAAATATCAAAATCACCTATGGAAGAATTTGTGTATAGCTGTTGGATAGTTTAGATTCCAGATCAAAGGAAGGATGTGAGGAAAACCACAAAAAGCCTCAGCCAGGATAACTGGGGTTTAAAATATTTACCTCCTGAAGCCAAGTCAGATCATTACAGTTGTGCCATTCTACTCAGTATGACATAACCTCAAATGTTTGTCTCTGTCTCGCAGGCAGACAGCGATAGACACACCATAGCTTACAATGCCAAAACGGATGCAAGAGATTGTTTAGTACACAAATGCTGTCTTTATACACAGGAATTTAAAGGTAGTTCTTGGAGGTGGATTGAATCAACTTGGAGTGCCTGTTGAACAGGAAGATTATGTGTTCTGTACTCGTGATGACAAACAAAATCTTGTGGAGAAATGGAAGCAAGGAAGGAAAAATTATCTCTTTGTGAACACAAGTCGGGATCTAATGGAAGCTGACGTCAGCAAGGTAAAGCTCAGTACATGTTTTAACTTGGCTAATGGCATTCTGCGGATCGGGTGAACTGACTGTGGACTGAACTTGATGGGTTCAGTCTCTGGTGACATCAACTGGTTTCTTGCATTTACAATATATACTGAACTAACAGGAGGCTAA